ACCTCCAGGTTCCTCCCTGAGAAACCTGGCCAGTGTTTTCCCACAGGATGAAAAACTTTCAAGCTTGTTTGGCAGAGCTGTTTGCAAAGCCTTTATCTCCTTATGCTGATGGGAACAGGCTCTCCCTGATGCTCCAGGTGCCTTCTGAAGGGCTCTTGAGGTGATGTGACGGCCAGATCTACTCCTGTGCCAGCATCTATCTCGAGTGGACCCGTTCTGGGTGCTCCCTCGCACAGCTAAATTCCCTGAATGTAAATTCATGAAAGGAATCCCCGAGTGTTTCTATCAATCCTTGGTGACAGCCTACTAGGGAAAAAACAAAAAAATACCTGTAAGTAGTGCTGCTCACAGACTGAGATATTAGCTAAACTCCTAACAAGAAGCCTCCTGGAAAATAACAAAGGACTGAGAATAAGGGATAAGAAGCAGTAAGAGGCACAGTAGAACACTTCTGGCTTTCAGACTATGTATTTGCTGCTTTTTAACTTTTTTTTTTAAAAAAAAAACCAAAACAAAACAACAAGCAATGGATTTCTATATTCAAAATAGTAAAAGAGCAAGGGTTTGAGGACTGCAGGAAATGCACCGCCTTATGTTGCAGTCTGCTTTTAGCCAGCGTGAAGGTGAATTCTCATGGCAAATGGAGCAGTGATTGCTGCTTGTTTGTACCTCTGTGGAACAGATCCATATGCTGGGATATAAATTGCACACTATTTCTAACCCAATAAATACTTATATGAAAGTTTCTTGCTGGTCTTATTCCACTGGGAAAAGATTTTTTTTTTTTTTTAAGGGACACAACCCACACCTCTCTATCATCCTTAAAAGTCTGACTTGGATATGTTGGATCGGGGTTTTTCCTATGGGGACATGAATGGGCTGTTCCTTTACTATCAGGGCTGTGACACCAGTGGCATTAGGTGGAGTTTTTAGTCCTCAATGGTGATGGCTCTGGTCCTCTCCCTGTGTATATAGAGAAGCTAAAGCATCAGCTGGCATTTCCTGAGAGATGATGCCAAGCTCCAGCTCAGTTCAGGATTTCATTAAAGATCAGGACTAACCCTTCTATCCCTGAAGAAAATTTAAAAAAATCAATGGCTTCAAACCCACCTTTCACAACTCTCAGGGAGGTGATCCACAGAGTGATGTTTCAGGCCATCACCTGATCTGTGCTTCCCCGTCTCAGAACATGATTATTTCTGAGGCTTGCATAACTTCTCTTAAAAAAAAAAAAAAAAAAAAAAGGGGGCAATAAACATTAAATTGCCATGCAAACAATAAGGGAGTATATGGAAAATTGGGCTCTGTGCATACCTGAATTAGCATCCCTGAAGTGGCATCCCTGCAGGGACCAGCGCTCCAGGGTTTCCAGCTTTGTGGGGTAGGAAACTGCTCTTGTCTTACAGACACATTTTCATGAGGCATAAATGTTTAGCCAAGACCTTGAATAGGGATATAATATCAGCAATCTTGGCAAAAGTCAATTTTCTGCTGAAAAGTGTGCTCCTCCCCAGATCCCTACCCTGGGATGCTCTGTGGTGTGAGCTACTCACCCTGCACAGGAGTACAATCAAAATAAGTTCAGAAAGGTTAACATTTTACTCCATCCACCACTGGGAAATAATTCAGTGGCTTTTTAAATGGTGCCACCCATTGTACCACAGAGTTATTTTTAATTTTGTGGCTGTGCCACAGAAAGGCTGCTCTTGAGAAGAGAAGCCTTCCTCCCACAGTGACCTTGTTCACATTCACGTTATTGTTACCAACTGCTATCATAATGATTTTGTTTTTAATTAGTGTCCCCGGCACAGCCTGTCGTTTAGCTTGGGAAGGTCAGCTGGCACACGGATCCAGCACCCCACCCACTCCTTCCTCCAAGTAATGAGCAAAACAGCCTCTGGCTTTGGAGGGGAGAAAAGCTGATTTTGATGGTGCTGAGGAGAAAGCAGGAATTGAATGTTTTCATGTCTCTCCTGGTGAGTTGGAGGGAGGTGATGGACAAAGAGGGAATGGCCTCAAGCTGCCCAGGGCAGGGTCAGGCTGGCTCTGAGGAAGGATTTTTTTGCGGAAGGGGCTGTTGGGCCTTGGGATGGGCTGCCCAGGGCAGGGGGGGAGTCCCCATCCCTGGAGGGGTTCAAAATTCGGGTTGAGCCAGTGCTGAGGGATCTGGTGGAGTTGGGAACAGTCAGGGTGAGGTTCATGGTTGGACTGGAGGAGCTGCAAGGGCTTTTCCAACCCTGATGATTCTGTGATTCTGTGAAGTGATGAAGGCGTGACAGAGGTGATGAAGGTGGTGGAGGTGCAGTAGGTATGGTGGAGGTGTGACAGTGATGACAGAGGTGAGATGGAGATCACAGAGGGGATGGATGCAGGTGTGACAGAGGTGATGGAGTATATTTGGCAGCAGTGATGGGAGCGATGGAGACATGACAGAGGACGTGTGGCAGCAGTGATACAGATTTGATGGAGGTGATGATGGTGGGATGGAGATGATGGATTTGCGATGGAGGACGTGTGACGGCGGTGATGGGGGGGTGAGAGAGGTCACAGAGGTGGTGGAGGTGTGATGGTGGTGGAGACACGATGGAGGCCATGGAGGCGAGGGAGGATGTGTGCCAGCGGTGACGGAGGGGAGATGGGGGTGACGGTGCTGGGGCGGACATGGAACAGTAGTCACGGCGGAGGGGTGGAGATGGCGGACGTGTGGGGGCAGCGGCGGAGGTGACGGGGGGTGACAGATACCGCAGGGAGCGGCGCTGCCCAGGGCCACGCGGCCGCCCCTCCCGCGCAT